TGAACTCCAGACCTCAAAGTTCACATTAGGCAACACATAAGCAGCCTGTGGGTGCCTGGTCACTGAGCAGCCCCAGGCGCTGTGCCCATCCCAGCGGCCAGGCCCTGCAGCCGACCTTGGCCTCCTCCCACCATAGGGGCTGCAGGGCTGCACTGCCACTGGGAATGACTACTGAGGGAAGGGTGGAGTGTGCTGGCCCCTGGGGGAACTCAGGAGTTGCGTGACTTTGGCGCTGGTGGATGCGGTGTGTGGCAGTGTGAGCGCAGCCAATAGACCAGTGGGCAGGCAGGCTTGGTAGCACCCCGGACACTCCCAAGAACAGGAGACTTCATGGAACACCCTGAGGAACCACTGTGTGGAGGGGAAATGGCCCCCTGTGAGGGAATTTCCAGCAGCAGGTGAAGCCCAACCAAATGCAGTCCAGACGGCTTCGGACTCCACAGGAGCCCTGATGGGAGGCAGAGAAGGAGAATCGGGACAGTGAGGAGGCTGTCACCCAGCCCTCACTAATACCCTGGGAGCAGCCCTTGTGTGCCAAGGAGGTGGAGGATGGTGGTTTGTCAGTTTTTGAGATGGAGTCTTGCCCCATTGTCCAGGCTGGAGTGCAGTGGCGCAATCTCGGCTCACTGCAACCTCCACCTCTCGGGTTCAAGTGATTCTCCAGCCTCAGCCTCCCAAGTAGGTGGGATTACAGGCACGCATCACCACTCGCAGCTAATTTTTGTATATATGTATTTTTTTAAGACAGTCTCACTCTGTCACCCAGGCTAGAGTATGGTGGTACAATCTCGGCTCACTGCAACCTCTACCTCCCAGGTTCAAGTGATTCTCCTGCCTCAGCCTCCCAAATAGCTGGGACCACGGGTACATGGCACCACACCCAGCTAATTTTTTGTATTTTTAGTAGAGACGGGGTTTCACCATGCCAGGATAATTTCGATCGCCTGACCTCAGGATCCGCCCATCTGGGCCTCCCAAAGTGCTGGGATTACAAGCGTGAGCTACTGCGCCCAGCCAATTTTTGTATTTTTAGTAGAGACGAGGTTTCACCATGTTGGCCAGGCTGGTCTCAAACTCCTGATCTCAGGTGATCCACCCGCCTCGGCCTCCCAAAGTGCAGGGCTACAGGCGTGAGCCACCACACCCAGCCAAGCATGGTTTTATATTGGGAAAAACCTAGCACACCAAACTTTTGAAAATGACCATAGGATACAACCCTCTGGCCTGGGACCCACCCCATCCAGTGGGTGGGGCTGACAAGAATACAGAAACAGTTCCTGGACAGCTCCCAGTAGGGCTCCCGGCTGGGACCCAGCCCAGCGCTGAGCAGAGCTGTTCCTGGCCTGACAGCCTCCCCACGGCTGCCAGCACCGCACCCTTCCCAGCCATGTCCTGGAAGTGCTCAGAGGAAACATCTGCCCAGAACATGATATCACTAATGAGACACTCACTAGATGACATAAATCCACTTAGCAGAGCCTCACCCTCACCTAGCAACTGGGTCACCAGCAAACTAACCACTTGGTGTGACTCCATTAGGACTACGTGGGCCCGGAGCCTAAGAGGCCAATGTACCCAACGAGGGACTTAACCCTTCTCCCAGGGAGAGGCAAAAACAAAACAGCGTAACTGAGAACCGGGTTGTAAAAACCCATGCAAGAGCCAAGAATGGTGAACAGGGTATCTTTTACGTCAGGGTGCGGGAGCTGAGGAGGAGCCACCAGCTGGGCAGAGGACACCGCCTCCTTGGGTAGGAGGGCTCGCCAGAGCCAGAGCCAGAGCCAGTGAGGCGGGCAGGCAGGGTCCATGCGCAGTGGCACCGGTTGTTACTGAAGCAAATAGAACCACCTTTCGTTTTTTGAGACGAAGTCTCGCTCGATAGCCCAGGCTGGAGTGCAGTGGCGCGATCTCGGCTCACTGCAACCTCTACCTCCCGGGTTCAAGCGATTATCCTGCCTCAGCCTCCGGAGTAGCTGAGATTATAGGCATGGGCCACCATGCGCAGCTCATTTTTTTGTATTTTTAGTAGAGATGGGGTTTCACTATGTTGGCCAGGATGGTCTCGATCTCTTGACCTCGTGATCCACCCGTCTCGGCCTCCCAAAGTGCTGAGATTACAGGCGTGAGCCACCGCACCCGGCCGAGACTGAGTTTCACTTTTATTGCCCAGGCTGGAGTGCAATGGCTCGATCCTGGCTCACCGCCACCTCCACCTCCTGGGTTCAAGCAATTCTCCTGCATCAGTCTCCTGAGTAGCTGGGATTACAGGCACCCACTGTCATATCTGGCTAATTTTTTGTATTTTTAGAGAGACGGGGTTTCACTGTGTTGGCCGGGCTGTTTCGAACTCCTTACCTCAGGTGATCTATCGCCTCGGCCTCCCAGAGTGCTGGGATTACAGGAATGAGCCAACACGCCTGGCTACATAACTCCCTTTTTTTTTTTTTTTTTTTTTTTTTTTTTTTTTTCATACATCCTCTGAAAAACTCCCCATTTTATACAGTGGGAAACAAGGGTGCAACGAGCCTGGGGACAAGTTGGGAGGACAAGCTTGGGAAACAGCGAATAATAGCAGAGCCAGCCTGAAAGGCCAGGTCTGACTCAGGGGCTCCATCCCACACCCGCCAACAGCAGCAAACACATTAAAACTAAATGCCTTGTTTGGGCACGGTGGCTCACGCCTGTAATCCAGCAGTTTGGGAGGCCAAGGCAGGGGGATCACCTAAGGTTGGGAGTTGGAGACCAGCCTGGCCAGCATGGTGAAACCCTGTCACTACTGAAAATACAAAAATTAGCCAGGCATGATGACTCACATCTGTAATTCCAGCTACTTGGGAGGCTATGGCAGGAGAATCGCTTGAACCTGGGAGGCAGAGGTTGCAGCGAGCTGAGATCGCACCACTGCACTCCAGCCTGGGTGACACAGCAAGACTCCAACTCAAAAAAAAAAAAGCCCCACCTAAACAGCAGGGAACACACACAACACACATAGCAATCAGATCATGAAGAAGGAACAGCTGAGAAGTCCCCCAGCTGCAGCCTATTTGGAGTCTTGCCAAGTACCATTTGGACTGTTTCTCTCACTTTCTATTCTACCCATGTGTTGAAAAGCCCCCTTCTTCCCTGATTGGCAGTGAAACATCATTAAATATACGTGCACATATACACAAACACGACACGGCATGTACACTTGACACGTGTCCACGTGTGGGTACTGAGAGACCTTGGGCAAGGGTCAGGGAAGACCTTTATCTGAAGGACATGCCCTTGGTGCCATTTGGGAGGACAAACTGCTGTCACTAACCTCGCAACAAAAACAGGTAACAAGCTTTAAAGGTAAACTCAAGACAGCCAGTGAAGCTTCAGCAAATACGTGTTAATACAAACTTTTACCATGAATAAAAGGCCCTTCCTGGCTGTGTGCGGTGGCTCACGCATGTAATTCTAGCGCTGTGGGAGGCCAAGGCGGGAGGATCACCTGAGGTCAGGAGTTCAAGACCAGCCTGGCCAACATGGTGAAACCCTGTCTCTACTAAAAATACAAAAATTAGCCAGGCATGGTGGCACAAGCCTGTAATCCCAGCTACTCTGGAAGCTGAGGCAGGAGAATCGCCTGAACCCGGGAGGTGGAGATTGCAGTGACGTGAGATTATGCCATTGCACTCCAGCCTGGGTAACAAGAGTGAAACTCCCATCTCAAAAAAAAAAAAGACCCGTCCTAAGAACAGCACTGTAAGTCGTGAGTTATTACTCGGATGCATCTGTCCATCTACCCAGCGACTCGGGTTCTCTCCATAACTCCTGTAAGCCACTGGGCCACAGGGAGACGGGATGGGAACACCGCGTTCACGCAGCCTGTACTGCAGCCACCGCCCCTCCCACAATTCCTGGCTGTCTGCAGTGCTTCCCTGCAGCAAACCCAGCTGCTGACATCATAAAAGGCACGCAGCCGGACCTGTCTGCGCTGGTCTGTTTCAATTTACAACAGACTCATCCACAAAACTGAAGTGACAAAAACAGGTCTTTCTGAGGCCGAGCGTGGAGGCTCACGCCTATAATCCCAACACTTTGGGAGGCTTAGACAGGAGGATTTAGTCTCTACTGAAAATACAACAATTAGCCAGGTGTGGTGGCACACGCCTGTAATCACAGCTACTTGGGTGCCTGAGGCCGGAGAATTGCTGGAACCCCGGAGGTGGAGGCTGCAGTGAGCCGAAACTGTGCCACTGCAATCCAGCCAGGGCAACGGAGTGAGACTCTGTCTAAAAAAAAAAAAAAATCACAGTCAAGTAAAAAGAAATGGAACTAAAAGGTCTGTCAGTTAAATATACTCCTTTCTTATGGCAGGGCTAGTCTATAAGATTTTTTTTTTTTAAGATTTTGTTTTGTTTTTAATTTCAAGTTTTTTTTGAAAAAAATTTTTTTTAGATGGAGTCTCCCACTGTCACCTGGGCTGGGGTGCAGTGTTGCCATCTCAGCTCACTGCAACCTGTGCCTCCCAGGTTCAAGCGATTCTCCTGCCTCAGCCTCCCGAATAGCTGGGATTATAGGCGCCTGCCACCATGCCTGGCTAAGTTTTTGTATTTTTAGTAGAGACGTGGTTTCACTATGTTGGCTAGGCTGGTCTCAAACGCCTGATCTTGTGATCCACCTGCCTCAGCCTCCCAGAGTGCTGGGATTAAAGGTGTGCGCCAACTGCACCCGGCCCCTAGTTTTTTAAATGTTTAAACCTTGTGACACATTAAATTACACGCTGAAGCTGTTACTTTCTGCCAAAAAGAGGATGAGTTTTTTATATGGTAATTCTGCTTAAGTTAAAAAAATTTTTTAAAAAAGCAAGTTTTAGAGGCCGGGTTCAGTGGCTCACACCTGTAATCCTAGCACTTTGGGAGGCTGAGGTGGGTGGATCACCTGAGGTCAGGAGTTCAAGACCAGCCTGGCCATCATGGAGAAACCCCATCTTTTAAAAAAAAAAAGCAAGTTTTATACATCTGCATGAATTGGTTCCTTCAGCACTAGTGAAACAGACTCCATAACTTTGCAAAGAAGTGCTTTCATTTATTTACAGGGCTTAGGAAAGGAAAAAAGCTCTAGAAAAGGAAAATTTCAAAACAGGGCTTCAGCAGGGGCCCAGGGGAGTGAGTCATTTTGATAAGGTCCGGGTTGGAGTCACTTCCAGGTAGTGAGAACGGCTCTCCCTGAGTCTCTCGATCGGCCTGCCCTGGGCCCCTGAGACTGGCCCTGACGACTTCTCAGCTCCCGGTCGGCCCCGTCACCCTGGGCCAGTTCTTCATCGTACCTGGAGACAGAAACAGCCAGGATCACGGCAGGCTCTCTTTTGAAGGCAACAGGCAGGGCCACCAGGTTGCTGTGTGGCAAATACGACATCACCCAGAAAAGCAGCCTGAGGGGACCCCCAGCTCCTGCCAGCTCCCACCCACCTCTCACCTGGCTCCCACCCACCTGCCTGCCAGGTGGCTTTCACAGCTGGCAAACGCTCCCCAGGGCCACCGTACCTACGTGTACAGCCTTGGTAAGTTGTTATTGTGGACACTGCTCTTCCCTGGAAACTGACATCTTAAACAGGTCACCACGTCAAATTTGGCAACGGCCCCAAAGGCAACATGAATGAGGTGACACGGAGCCAGCCCAGGGTAGTGAGGTGAGAGCCCACGCTTCACACAAGGCACCTCAGGCTGGGGGGACTAACTCCATTCCAGATGGGAGCCGGTGTGAGCGCCTGCCAGTGGAGGCCAGGGCAGAGAGGCCCCGCAGTGCACACTCAGCTAGACACTCTGCCAGTGTGACCCACGCCACCCTTCCACATTTTTTTTTTTTTTGAGACCAAGTTTTGCTCTATCACCCAGACTGGAGTATAATGGCGTGATCCTGGCTCACCACAACCTCCACCTCCCGGGTTCAAGCGAGTCTCCTGCCTCAGCCTCCCGAGTAGCTGGGATTACAGGCACACGATACCACACCCAGCACATTTTTATATTTTTAATAGAGATGGGGTTTTACCATGTTGGCCAGGCTGGTCTCGAACTCCTAACCTCAAATGATCTGCCCGCCTCAGCCTCCCAAAGTGCTGGGATTACAGGTGTGAGCCACTGCCCCCGTCCCTATTTTCTTTAACTGCCTGTTTCCCAATTAAAGTTCATGCATCCTTAGGGCACACAGGCTAAGAAGACAACAGTGCAGTAAACAGCGTGAACTTCTGCATCTGGAAGAGCTGGATGGCAGCCGCAGCTCTCCACATGGGGTTGTCACAGCATCTGGGGGAGTCCTGGGTCCTTCCCATAGTGGCGGGGCCCTTCTCTAACAGGGTCCCGGAGCAGGGCAATTGCTGCCTGTACCTATTGCAGGCTCTGGCAGGGAGCAGGCTTCGGGGAATGGGGCCGCCCACTCCATGGTGACTCATAGTATCCTCCCAACTCAGGCGGAGCATCAGGACTTGCTTCCTGTGGGGGAAACTAGGGTTCCAGAGGTTTGCTCAGGGCCTAAGGTCCCATAGCTGGTCCGTGGCACAGGTAGGATGAAGCCCCAGGACTTCCTAATTCAGAGCTTTTTGACCCACATTGCTGAGGAGTACAGAAAGCATCTCTGCCCCGGTTAAAGCGTCATCAGTGTGCTGCGCTGGCCATCCTGACTAGGACCCTCAGCTGTACGCAGGTATTTATGTCAAATACAAAAGGTACCCAGATGCTGAGTGCTAATCTTGCAGACTTCTGGAAAAGGGTGGATTTCTGTGATAAGCTTATTACCAAAATCAGAGTTTGCAGGTTGAATGCAGTGCAGGTTAGAAACTGCTGAGGTTAAAGAATGTATTTTCTGCATTGTGTTTCTGGCGGCAAGGTGGGAAGAAAGCATTTTATGACCCTTCTTTTTCTTTCCTTTTTTTTTTTTTTTTTTTTTTTTTTGAGACAGAGTCTCGATCGTTGCCCAGGCTGGAGTGCAGTGGCTTGATCTCAGCTCACTGGAACCTCTAACTCCCAAGCTGAAGCGATTCTCTTGCCTCAGCCTCTGGAGTAGCTGGGATTACAGGCGTCCACCACCACACCCAGCTAATTTTTGTATTTCTAGTAGAGACGGGGTTTTGCCATGTTGGCCAGGCTGGTCTCGAACTCCTGGCCTCTGATTATCCACCCGCCTCTGTCTCACAAAGTGCTGGGATTACAAGCGTGAGCCACAGCGCCTGGCCACATTTTCTGACTTCTGTCTATGAAGCAGACGCTACAGGGATCCAGGCTGTGCACCAGGGTGGGGCTGTCAGGACGACAACACAGGGGCCTGCTCTCCTCCCTGGCTCTCGAAGGAGACACAGCCACAGTCCTTATGACACAAGGAAGCCAGACAGGACACCCCAGGCACTCTGGAATCTGCCTGGGTGGGGGGTCCTCCAGGAAGCCTCCCTGGCCCCTCTCCACAGATCAGATGTCTCCACCCCGAGGACTCTAGATTCATAAATGATCAAAGTAGTCACTCCACTGCCCGCCTGCCTGGTTCTTGGCTGCCCCAGCAGCTTGTTCAAGGTCTGGTGAATAGGAATCACTGAATGAATGGAGAAAAAGACCACATATGGTGACCAGTTTCATGGGGCACTTGTGCTGATCTGTACGGCTCAAAAAACAAAACAAACAGAACCATGCATTTGGCAAGCAGCTGGCACCAGGATGCGACGTTCTCAGGGGCGGTCTGGCCACCTACTGAGCCAACGTGGAGGAGAATCAGAGCCAAGATGGTTCTTCTAAGTTCCTGTCCTAGCCAACTTTTCTTCTGGGTTTTGATAGAAAGAATCTAGTCACGCCGGGCGCCGCGGCTCAAGCCTGTAATCCCAGCACTTTGGGAGGCCGAGGCGGGTGGATCACAAGGTCAAGAGATCAAGACCATCCTGGTCAACATGGTGAAACCCCGTCTCTACTAAAAATACAAAACATTAGCTGGGCATGGTGGCGTGTGCCTGTAATCCCAGCCACTCAGGAGGCTGGGGCAGGAGAATTGCCTGAACCCAGGAGGCGGAGGTTGCGGTGAGCCGAGATCGCGCCATTGCACTCCAGCCTGGGTAACAAGAGTGAAACTCCATCTCAAAAAAAAAAAAAAAAAAATCTAGTCACTGTTAGGGTTCAGAGCAGTACTTTTTAAAAAGGCTGTGAAAGTCCAGCCAGCAACTTCAGAACAGCGCCCTGGAGGTAGCAGATGCAAAGTGCCAAGCCTTGTGGGTTCATGGCCAGCGGCATGGCCTGGGGCACCTCATGCTGCCAGCGTCCTTGCTACCTGCTGCTGGGCCCTGAGGGGTTGCTGTGGCCATCGAGTGAGAAGCAGAGCACCCGGCAGGGACACTGACGGGTGGCGCCACTCAGATGCCGGGGCCCTCCCAGTCAGCACCAACTGCTGCTGCTACAGGTGGCCGCACCTGAACACAGACCCAGGTTCTTTGATCATCTGAATGACTAGGGGAAGTAGGCCCTGACTGGAAGCATTTAGAGACCATCAGCTACACACAGGAGCTCTCCGTTACCCCTCAGGAGCCAGGAGAGGACGGCTAGATCAGGAGGGGGTCACCTTGTTGTCTCTTCAACTAAAAGCAATGAGGCTCTGGGCTCTGCTTTATTTATTTATTTATTTTTGAGGCGGAGTTTCGCTCTGTCGCCCAGGCTGGAGTGCAGTGGCGTAACCGCAGCTCACTGCAACCTCCATCTCCTGGGTTCAAGCCATTATCCCGCCCTCAGCCTCACAAGTAGCTGGGATTACAGCCATGCGCTACCATGCCCAACTAGTTTTTGTATTTTTAGTAGAATTGCGGTTTCACCATGGTGGCCAGGCTGGTCTTGAACTCCCGACCTCAGGTGATCCACCTGCCTCAGCCTCCCAAAGTGCTGGGATTACACTGCACTCCGCTGCTGGGCTCAGCGTGGCCTCTGCTTCTTAGCCTGGAGATGGCATGTCTGGCCCCCTCCCTCAAGGAGGACACGGCTGGGCAGGGCAGAGGCCCCACACGCTTCCAACAAGGCAGCCTCCCCGCCATCCTCAGCTGGACTGAAAAGAACCCCCCAAGGTCCTCATGCTACTGACAAGTCTCCCCCGAATGGTCCCCACCCCTGTGCACCCTCACAGACCCCTCGGTCCTCCAGCACAGGGGCCATCAGTACCCAGCCCCCAAGGCCGCCATCGTAGCTGCCGTTCCCAGCCCTGAGATCACCCTTCACCTCCCAGGCTGCCAACCCCAGTCTGATCCCATCCCCAGAGTCACCTCCTGCGGATTCCAGAACCCGCTGCCTGTCTCCCACCCGCCACACCCTCCACTTGTCCTTCATTCTCCTTCCTGCTCTAACGGGCTCCTGGGTCTCCTGGAAGACACTGCTTCCCCTGCAGCCCTTGGGGTGGGGCTGCTTTCTCTCCCACCCACCATACTCCCCGCTGGAGGGGGCCACCTCCCTAAAACCCCGAGCTCTTCCCAGGCCTGGTAATCACAGTTACGGCCACACCTTGTGCAGTCACCTCCAGTCCTCCTGGTCACCACCCCCATCCCTTGGAGACCCAGGCTCCTAGTCCATGGTTGCAGGTGAAGGCAATGATCAAACAGATGAAAACCCCAACTCCATGACCACTGGTGACCCTGTCCTCTACTCCATCTCGGTCCATCCCCGGGAGTCCCCAAGCCTCGTCACCCCTCGCATTATCTCCACGGCAAGCACTTACTCCCTGACCACTACCCCTTCTCCTCCCAGCTCTCTTCCCTAGTGCCCGACTCCAACCTGCCCCATGGGACTGCCACCCACCCCCACCTCCTCCCTGTCCCTGCTGCCCTCTCTCTTGCCATTGCAAGCTCCAACTCTGGTCCCTCCCAACCCTCTGCCTTCTCTATACCTAGCCCAGGCAGCTGACCGTGGACGGAGAGACCCACCGACCACACACACTGACCGGTCGCCCCTGAGGTTCACAGCCACCATCCTGCAGAGGTCCCAAGGTTGCCGGCAAGCCCAGCATACTTCCACCTAAACTCCGCTTCCACCTGCTCCTCCTGTCCCAGACGACGAGCTATGCCACGCCCATCCACACCACACATCACCCGCAGCAGGGGCAGGAGGTAGCTAAGCATGGGCTCTCGAGTCCTGGGCCCGTGTTCAAATCCTCCCACCAGCAGTGCCTACCAGCTGCAAGCCTGACGTTGCTGTGTGTAAATGTCACTAAATATTTCTGCCTTTGTTTTTAAAAAATTTAAATTAAATGCACATTTTTGCTTTGACAGAAGCGTGTAACTGTGATCCTAACACACCTACTCCTCTGCCTTTTACTGCCGTCTGCTTCCCTCTGTTCTCTGGCTCCCTTGACACCCACTCGACTGCGGAATCGACGCTGACAGCATGACGTGTGTCCTTCCACGTTTCCCTGCTCATGCATTTCCATGTAAGCCACTGCACATGTCACCGTAGGCACACACGGAGGCTCTGAGGTCCATGTTTTACAAGATTACATTATAGACCCTTTTCTGCAATAGTTTTTCCCAGGCCACCTCCCAGGCCCCATGGGGTAGCTCTGGGTCAGTCCTTTTTTTTTTTTTTTCAGCAGGTGAGTTGATACACACTCCTCAGCCACCGTCCTGCTTCTGGGTCAGTCTTTTTAAAGGCCACCTAATAGACCACGGAATGAATGAACCATACTGTATTCAGCCACCACACTCCTGATGGGCTCCCACTTTGTTCCCACTTTTGCCACTACAGGCATGCCACGGAACTGCACCAAGCCTTTGTTTCCACATCTGTGAAATGGAGCTAACACTCTTGCCTACTTCAAAACGTTCCTGGGGAAAGGAATTGATACTGTGTGTAAAGCACTCTGCACAGTTTCTGATGCATGGTAAGTCCTCGAAGGTTAGCTATTTCCTTCCCATTCTGTAAGATACATCTTATTATACCCATTTAAAGGTGGACAAACTGAGGCTCCAACAGTAGCACTGGGTTCCTCACTGTCACCACCCAGCTTTACATGGCAACGCTAGGGAACGAGCCCAGGTGACCTGTGAGAAAGAAGCGCTCCATCCACCCTGCTGCAACTATCCTGGTGGCTAACAGGGGGCCTGGCATGTGATCAGTGCATCACACGTACATCATGAGCAGGAGAATACACAATGATCAAGTTTAGCACCCAAACTGCTTTTCTGGGCTGGGCACAGTAGATCCCAGAACTTTAGGAGATTGAGGCAGGAGGATCACTTGAGGTAAGGAGTTCAAGACCAGCGTAGCCACCAAGGTACAACCTCATCACTACTAAAAATACAAAAATTAGCCAGGCGTGGTGGCACATGCCTGTAATCTCAGCTACTTGAGAGGCTGAGGCCGGAGAATCGCTTGAACCTGGGAGGTGGAGGCTGCAGTGAGCCAACATCACGCCATTGGACTCCAGCCTTGGTGACAGAGCAAGACTCCCTCTCAGAAAAAAAGTAGTAATAAAATAAATAAACTGACTTTCTGCAACAACACAATCTATCCCATAATGTTATTAATAAATGAAACACTCTGCTCAAATAAGGGGAATCCACACATGCCCAGAAATCCAAGCTGGGTTGTGGGACACGCCGTTCAGAGACACAGAAGGACAAGCACGCAGTCGCTCACAAACTTACAGAATCTCGTAATTGCCAAGGACTTCCTTTGGGGGCGACTTGTTCCATTTGCAGTCTGGAATTTCGCCGTTGGGGACGGCAATGTTGAGGGTGTCGTTAATCAGGTTATACTTGAGGATTCGATCGTTGGCAGTGCTGGAGGTGAGAGATGGGGACGCGTTCACCTGTGAGAGGAAAAGACCCACGTTCCTCACCTGCTCCTCTCTCTCTTTCGGAATGAAAACGCGCACTGTGGAGGAGACTCTGCCTGCTGCACACTTCAGGAAGGTTGTTGTGCTGGGCGCAGTGGCTCACGCCTGTAATCCCAGAACTTTGGGAGGCCAAGGTGGGCAGATCGTGAGGTCAGGAGTTCAAGACCAGCCTAACCAATATGGTGAAACCCCATCTCTACTAAAAATATATACATAAAAATTAGCCGGGTGTGGTGGCATGCTCCTGTAGTCCCAGCTACTCGAGAGGCTGAGGTAGAAGAACTGCTTGAACCCAGGAGGTGGAGGTTGCCGTGAGCTGAGATTGAGCCACTGCACTCCAGCCTGGGCAAAAAAAAAACAGACCCCAACAAAAAAAAAAAAAAAAAAAAAAAAAAGAAAAGAAAACTTAAAAAAGCAGCATTCTAACTCAAATGATGAATCCTTCCAACACATGGAAAGGTAGTCTCATAAGGCCTCTGAGAAGCTAAGCAATGTCATGAAATCCATACATTCAAATGTAGACATTCACTTTGTTCTGTGGAGAGTCCCATAGGCCCTCGGTCACTGTTTTTTTGTTTGTTTGTTTGTTTTGTTTTTTTTGAGATGGAGTCTCGCTCTGTCACCCAGGCTGGAGTACAGTGGCGCCATCTCGGCTCACTGCAAGCTCTGCATCCTGGGTTCAAGCAATTCTCCTATCTCAGCCTCCTGAGTAGCTGGGATTACAGGTGCCAGCCACCACGCCTGGCTAAGTTTTGTATTTTTAGTAGAGACGGGGTTTCACCATGTTGGTCAGGCTGGTCTCGAACTCCTGATCCGCCTGCCCTAGTGTCCCAAAGTACTGGGATGACAGCCGTGAGCCACCGTGCCCAGTGCTTATTTACTCATATTTTGTGCACAGTCCTAATGACCTTGGTTAACTGTTTCAGGCCATGGGAGATTAAAGGGGGCAAATCTGCAAGCTGTTCAGGTTTCTCCCAGTCAGACTGCCTCTCTGTGATGCTAGCAGCATATTGAATGTGTACTGTGCCAAAGAATTGCACAGACCTCACTGTCCTCAAAATGACTGCTGTAGTATAGCATAATACTATAATTCTTATTATGAATACATGAAACTTAAAAATTGTTATTAGGCTGTGTGCGGTGGCTCACACCTACAATCCCAGCACTTTGGGAGGCCGAGGTGGAAGGATTGCTTGAAGGTAGGAGTTTGAGACTAGCTTATAACACAGCGAGACCCGTCTCTACAAAAAAAAAAAAAAAAAAAATTATCTGGGAGGAGTGGCACACACCTCTGGTCCCAGTCTTGTCAAGGTGAGAAGATCGCTTGAGCCAAGAGTTCAAGGCTGCAGTGAGCTATGATGGTGACATTACAATCCAGCCTGGACCACAGAGTGAGACTTGGTCTTTTTGTTTTTTTCGAGATGGAGCCTTGCTCTGTCACACAGGCTGGGGTGCAGTGGCATGATCTTAGCTCACTGCAACCTTTGCCTCCCAGGTTCAAGCTATTTCTCCTGCCTCAGCCTCCTGAGTAGCTGGGATTACAGGCATGCATAACCATGCCCAGCTAATTTTTTTGTATTTTTGGTAGAGACAAGTTTCACCATGCTGGCCAGGCTGGTCTTGAACTCCTGACCTCGTGATCTACCCACTTCAGCCTCCCAAAGTGCTGGTATTACAGGCATGAGCCACTGTGCCTGGCCTGGTTTTTTTTTTTTTAAGAGACCAAGTCTCAGGCTGGGTGTGGTGGTTCACGCCTGTAATCCCAGCACTTTGGGAGGCTGCGGTGGGTGAATTATGAGGTCAGGAGTTCAAGACCAGCCTGACCAACATGGTAAAAACTTGTCTTCACTAAAAATACAAAAATTAGCCAGGTATGGTGGCAGATACTTATAATCCCACCTACTCGGGAGGCTGAGGCACGAGAATCGCTTGAACCCAGGAGGTAGAGGTTAGCAGTGAGCTGAGATTGTTCCACTGCACTCCAGCCTTGGTGACAGAACAAGACTCCATCTCAAAAATTAAAAAATACCCAAAACACTAGGGTTTCCAAAGGAGGGAGGGAAGAAAAAGGCAAGGGTTTAAAAACTCCCTACTGAATACCATGTTCACTATTTGGGTGACAGGTTCAAGACAAGCCCAAAGCCCAGCATTTCGCAATACACTCATGTAACAAACCTGCATGTGTGCCCCCTGAAACTAAAATTAAAAAAAAAAAAAAAAAAAAGGGCGGGGAGTGGTGGCTCACACTGGTAATTCCAGCATTTTGGGAGGTCAAGGCAGGAGGATCACTTGAGCCCAGGAGTTCAAAACCAGCTTGGGCAACATAGTGAAACCCCATCTCTACAAAAAAAACAAAAACATTAGCCAGGCATGGTGGTATGTGCCTGCAGTCCTATCTACTTGGGAGGCTGAGTCAGGAGGATCACTTGAGCCCAGAAGCTAGAGGCTGCAGTGAGCTATGATTGCACCATTGCCTCTAGCCTAGGTCACAGAGTGGGACCCTGTCTCAAGACAGAAAAAAAAACAAAGAATCGTTGGCTGGGTGCAGTGGCTCACTCCTCTAATCATAGCATTTTGGGAGGCCAAAGTGGGCGGATTGCCTGAGCTCAGGAGTTCCAGACGAGCCTGGGCAACACAGTGAAGCCCCGTCTTTACTAAAATACAAAAAAATTATCCAGGTGTGGTAACATGCGCCTGTAGTCCCAGCTACTTGGGAGTCTGAGGCAGAATTGAATTGCTTGAATACAGGAGGCAAAGGTTGTGCCATTGTGCTCCAGCCTGGGCAACAGAGAGAGACTCTGTCTCAAAAAAAAAAAAAAGAAAAGAAAAAAGAATAGTAGCGATGTTCCTTCCTCAGGAGTCTGCTCCTGCTGGCCAAGGGCTTCTGAAGCTGTGAGCTGCTTTCCTAGACGGGAACACTGTCACCCAGGTGACAGGAAGGGTACAGGACTGAGGGAGGATGGACTAGCCCAGAGGCACCCTGGAGGTGTTGCAGCCACCAGGTTCACGTGAGATGGGCCACAGCTCCCTGTGGTGGGCCGGGCACTGGGAAGGGAGCAATGCAGAAATGTGCTTTTACATCACCTAACAGCAAGCCATCCAACCTGAACATCAGTCCCCTTCTTGCCTGGCCTGAGAAACATCTGGGGCCTGGGGGACTGTCAGGCCCAAGCTGGGACAGAAGCGTGTTGGGGGCTGTGTGCGGTGCAGCCAGGTGTGGGCGCTGCCGCGCTTACCTCGATCAGCCAGGGTTTCAGCTTGTCATCAATAATGATGTCGTAGCCATAGCATTCAAAGCAGTGCTTGTCATTGTTCATCACCGGCTGAGGAGAGAGTGACCAGCGGGTTACAGGGCCAGCACTGAAGGGCGCAGCAGAGACCAACGCCTCAGAGACAAGCAGGATCGTCCCCACGGTCCCAACCTTCCACGGCAAGGGTTCCCATCCTCCACCCCAAAGGCTTCCTTCCCTCCTTTCCCTCTTCCTCCCACAGAGCTTGGAGACTGGGCACTTTTCTTGGCGTGATAGAGAGAACTGATGAAGCTGTAATGGGCATCTCTGCATCTTACTCATCAGAGGCTTGACTAGTACCCAAGCCGGCGTGAGACTGGCATGAGAGTAGACAGACATCCTGCTCCAAGCCCAGAACCCGCAGTGACAGACTGGGTGGCCTTATCACAGACAAACACAGACTGTCCACCAGGCTGCCCGTCGCCCCGTCCCAGGCCCTTAGGGAGCCGGATGCCAGACTATTAACCTCTGTTCCCAGTGATAAATGTAAATCCATTTACAAACAATTTTTTACAGACAGCATCTCTGTCCTGGCTCAGGCTGCACGCAGGTCTAACTAGGTTCCTCTGAGGGCCTCAGAGCCACCTCCCATCCTGCACCAGGCCCCTCCCATCCTGCACCAGGCCCCTCCCATGTGCCAGTTTCCTGGGCTGCCTCACTATGAGAACAACATGTCTGGTAAAAACCAGGTGATGAACTATTTGCTAAGTGAATAAAAACTGAATACATAAATCCCTGCTCCAAAGACCCGCAGAGCCTTAGAAATCTATGAAAACAGCTTTTTAGTTCACAAAACTGAGGCCCAGAAAGAGCCAATCAGAGGCACTTGCCAGAGGGCTAGGCTGAGGGAATACAGGTTTCCTTGAAAACAGCTAACTTTTTCTCAAATGTCTGCCAATCCAAGGAAGACTAAAATGGGCTAGGAAGGGAGAGCAAAGGGCTGGGGAACCAGGTATTACAAGTCACACAATCACGTGTTAACAGATTAATGGCATTTAACTCTTCCCAAACACGAAGCGCAGAGCACTGTTCACGTACACCCCACGACACTGGTGTCACAGTCCCAATTTCACAGATAAGGCATCTGACGCTCAGTAAGAGGAGGCTCTTGAGCTAAGTCTCCTTTTGGCTCATGATGGGGCCTGGCATGACATCAGATCTGAACTCCACACTCGTTACCCGTCACCCAAGCTGCAACCCAAGCCACCAAGGCATAAGGAGCTTCAGTGGGACAAGAGATGGGGCACTCAGCCCCTAAGACAAATCTCCAGCAATGAACTAGGTCCTGGGGGTTTTATCTATCCGGATCCTCACTGTAAGTCAAAGACACAGAACAGGGCCAGGCACAGTGGCTCACATCTGTAATCCCAGTACTTTGGGAGGCTGAGGCTGGCGGATCACGAGGTCAGGAGGTCAAGTCCAGCCTGACCATGGTGAAACCCAGTCTTTACTAAAAACACAAAATTAGCTGGGCGTGGTGGTGTGTGCCTGTAATCCCAGCTACTCAGGAGGCTGAGGCAGGAGCATCACTTGACATGGAGGTGGAGGTTACAGTGAGTCGAGATTGCGCCACTGCACTCCAGCCTGGGCAACAGAGCAACACTCCATCTCAAAAAAAAGACGCAGGACGAACCCACACACCGTGCTCACACACCACTTTGAAAGCTGGAAGACCTTCACTCGAAGTGCAGAAAGTCAAGGCGCCCACCATACATCATCTCTTTCTTTTTTTTTTTGAGACAGTTTCGCTCCTTTTGCCCAGAATGGAGTACAATGGTGTGATCTTGGCTCACTGCAAATTCTGCCTCTTGGGTTCAAGCGATTCTCCTGCCTCAGCCTCACAAGTAGCTGGGATCACAGGCATGCACTACCACACCCGACTAATTTTGTATTTTTAGTACAGATGGGATTTTACCATGTTGGCTGGGCTGGTCTTGAACTCCTGACCTCAGGTGATCCATTGCCTCGGCCTCCCAAAGTGCTGGGAATACAGGTGTGAGCCATCATGCATGGCTGAAAACAGTGGTTTTGTTTTTGTTTTCTGAGACAGAGATCTGTTACCTAGGCTAGAGTGCAGTGGTGCAATCTTGGCTGGCTGCAACCTCTGCCTCCTGGGTTCTAGCGATTGTCCTGCCTTAGCCTCCTGAGTAGCAGGGATTACAGGTGTGTGCCACCACGCCCAGCTAATTATTTTATTTTGAGTAGAGATGGGTTTCACCATGTGGGCCAGGCTGGTCTTGAACTCCTGACCTCAGGTGATCTGCCGTCTCGGCCTCCCAAAGTGCTGGGATTACAGGTGTGAGCCACTGCACCCAGCCAAAAACAGGTATTTTTAACAAAAGAACAGCAAGCCCCACCACTCCCAAATGTGCCCTTAGAGCCAGCTCCCCCGCCCACACCAACACACCGCCACGGCCTTCAGGGACTGTACGATGATCCAGTGGATCTCATCAAACAGCTTGCTGGTCACCTCCTTGCCGCGGGTGCTCTCCAAGTAGAGCCGCAAGTTGCTGACTGTCCACTTGCCCCCGTGGATGTGGTTGTAGTCGTCCTGGCAACAGGAAAGCAGGTAGGCGTCGCTCAGGCTGTGCACCCCAGAGGAACCCAGTGTAACCCTTTCATTGCCCAAGCATTTCAGGAGTGTCCCCTAGGTGCGCGCGTCCAGCAACAAGGCAGATCAAGGCAGATGGGACCTCTGCCCCAGGAAGATCTGGGCGCATATTTTCTGTTTTTTTTTTTTTTTTTGAGATGGAGTCTTGCTCTGTCGCCCAGGTTGGAGTGCAGTGGCTCGATCTCAGCTCACTGCAAAATCCGTCTGCCGGGTTCAAGGGATTCTCCTGCCTCAGCCTCTGAGTAGCTGGGATTACAGGCACCTGCCACCGTGCCCAGCTAATTTTTTTTTTTTTTTTTTTTTAGTAGAGACAGGGTTTCTCCATGTTGGTCAGGCTAGTCTCAAACTCCCGACCTCAGGTGATAGCCCTGCCTCGGCCTCCCAAAGTGCTGGGATTACAGGTGTGAGCCACCATGCCAAGCCCTAATTTTTGTATTTTTTAGTAGAGATGGGGTTTCACTGTGTTAGCCAGGGTGGTCTTGATCTCCTGACTTGGTGATCTGCCTGCCTTGGGCAGGCCACCTATTTTCTGTTTTGTTTTGAGATAGGTCTCATTCTGTCTCCCAAGCTGGAGTGCAATGGTGTGACTTTGGCGAACAGCAGCCATGACCTCTAGAGCTTAATCGATCCTCCCACCTCAGCCTCTCAAGAAGCTGAGACTACAGACACGTGTCATCACGCCTGGCTAATTTTTTTTTTTTTTTTTTTTTTTGAGACGGAGTTTCGCTCTTGTTACCCAGGCTGGAGTGCAATGGCGCGATCTCGGCTCACCGCAACCTCCGCCTCCTGGGTTCAGGCAATTCTCCTGCCCCAGCCTCCTGAGTCGCTGGAATTACAGGCATGCGCCACCATGCCCAGCTAATTTTTTGTACTTTTAGTAGAGACGGGGTTTCACCATGTTGGCCAGGCTGGTCCTGAACTCCTGACCTCAGGTGCTCTGCCTGCCTCATCCTCCCAAAGTGCTGGGATTACAGACATGAGCCACCACGACCGGCCTTATATGGGTATTTGTAAATGCTCATCTTCCTAATACTCTCAAGATTAATCATTTATGCCTCATAGCAAGGCTGTGGTGCGCTGCCGGGATACCCTTCAAGACCAAGGCGCTCATTCTTCCAGCTGAGACCCACACTGGGAGTGCCCTTGGCTTGAGGGAGTGCCCTAATCCAGGGTTGAAGCCCTCCTTAAGGGCAGCAGCATTCCATGTCTGTCTGAGGCCAGCTGTCAGCCCCTGGTCCCTCCAGGACAGCTCTGCAGGGACATCCCTGCTCCACAGCGCCCCAGCGTGGGCTGAGGCCTCCACTGCAGCAAGATCACAGCTCGATTCTCCCTCTGCTGGGTCCGTTCACCTCCCTCACAGGTGTTGCCCCTGACACTGGGCCCCAGGAAACCTCCTGAATACTGACTTCTCCCTCAGAGTCTTTCCTGGGGAAGCCAACCTAAGACACACCAGGGCTGTGCACTACAGTTTAAAAGCACCACACCCATAATTCTCTAACAACTTTGAGAAGTCACCATCACCATCCCACTTCACAGGGAAGGCCGGGCTCAGAGAAGCTGTTACTTGCCCAAGCTTTCCTCCTGGGCTGGGATGGAGCTGGGCGCCCAGCCCAAATGTTCTGATGCCAGTTCTGCGCCCTTTCTGTTTTGCCACCCCTGAAAATTAATTATCCATACAATGCTTGCCTTTGAAGGCAAAGAGCTAGAAAATACCGGAGTGTATTACATTGTTGGGGGACTGCGATTTCATTTTCTAAGTATCAAGTGAGAACCATGAACTGAACAAAACCAGCCTACTAACTGCTCAAGCAAACAGCACTGACTCAAAGCAGATAAAAGGAGAATTAAGCCATATTTTAAAATAAAGTCCAAGTGTGGTGGCTTATGCCTGTAATCCCAGCACTCTGGGAAGCTGAGGTGGGAGGATCACCTGAAGTCAATAGTTTGAGACCAGCCTGGTCAAGATGGTGAAATCCCTTTATTTATTTATTTTTTTAATTTTTTTTTTTTTTTTTTTTGAGACAGAGTTTCTCTCTTGTTACCCAGGCTGGAGTGCAATGGCGCGATCTCGGCTCACCGCA